CACTCCCACAAAGGAGGCCACACCCACAGAGTAGGTTCAAACAATTTTTGAAACCCACTACTGTAGTAAGGACTCATCTAATTTTCAGGGAAAGGACTGGGCCTGGTGGGTGGATAAACATTTTACCTCTGGTTTATTTACATACATGAATGCACAAAGATTAAAATGACAGTTGCAAACAATAACCTACAATTCCCAAGTTTGAGAGCAAGAGAGAAAATAGATGGGTGGATAGTACAGCAATAGTAGGGCATTTAGAATTTATTGCCAAAAGCTTTTGCTTCAAGCTAGTTGTTTATAGTTCCATCCTGGTGAGTGAGACTCACCTTTGCTCCAGCTTTGAGTTGGATGAAAGCACACACAGGTTGATAGGAGCCAGTTCCACAGGCAAACACATGAGTGTGGTTGAAACGCTGCAGAAAGCGAATGAAATTGGCACATTCTGTCTGGAAAGCACAGAAAGATGGGTAGGTTACACTTAGACAAACTGCTTCGCCTGAGCACTCTTTCCATGGAAGAAAAAAACAAACCCATATATCTGGTCAGTTCCGAACTTAACAGATATCACCTGATTAGGTTTATTATTTGCTAAGAGAACAGCATCTCCCAGCAAATGGGATGTACCTTTAGTTAGGCATCCCACTGACCTCCCAGAGCTGCTCCAGAAGATGGAGACATTGCCTACAGTAGATTTAGAGTGCAGTCAAAGGTAAAAAAGGCAAATGCCATTTGAGCGGAAGACTATTTGCCTAATGTTAAATATATCTAATCATCCTACAGTAGTGTTTCTCAACCTTGGCAACTTTAAGCTGCATAGAGTTCAACTTCCAGAATTCCCCAGCCAGCATCCATACAGTTTAAAGTTGCCAAGGTTGAGAAACACTGGGTTTACAGCATGTCCGTTTGAATTGTTCGCACTTCAGCACTTCAGATGCTGTCCAGATAATCCATCAACTCTCCCATGCCCAGGGGGACAACCCTTTGTGTTAACTGCCTGGCATTCTTCATTTGCACCGTGCGGTTGGAAAGCACAGGATGGATCTTACTAATGTTACACTGAAGGCCATAACACAACATAGAGTTCCATTGGTTTGGCCACTGTCTAAATTGTGTGGCAAGGCAGATGATGTTGGGCTGATGCAAAAGGAGGATGAACAGATGCCTATCACACCAATTCTAAGGAATAATTAGAGGGGGGGGGAATGTGCTACTGAAAATTGGCCTGTTGCAGCTGAATGTGCTGCAGTTCTTCAGAGTTTGCAAAAGAGGGCTTTGCAGGACCAAAGACTTCAGATTGCCAATTGATAGCTCAAATCATGGGCCTGAAAACCTTAATTACCTCAGGATTCTTCCCAGCTAGCTTGCAATGCTTCACCTGCTCCTTGGGAGCTGGCCAGAAGATCTGGAAATAAAAACAAAAGGAAGATAATAAATATATGTTTATTAAACAAATGAATAAACATTCCCCCCAATGCAAATAATATTATCAGAGTTATTTTGTTCCAGTGCAAAGCGCTTTAGAAGAGGATTTTCTTCTTCTTCAGGATTCCCTCTGTATGTGCCATTTTGAACCATGTCTTAGTGGGGCAGTACAAATCCTTAGAAATGGGTGCTCTACAGGGTGTGAAAGCATCTACCAAGCTCCTTGTTTTGAATAGCTAAAGCAGTCTTGTTTCCAGAAGCTCACGCGGTTGCTTCAAAAGTTAGTTCCAGGGGTTGCTGCATAAATGTAGGACAGCTACTTCGTTCCCGTGTACCATAAGGCAACTTTTTGGATTGCTTGGCACAATCTTCAGTCTAACTCTAAAGCTAATTTGGACAATGCTGGAAATGGGATGGGATTGGCCCGATACTTTATCTGTGACCTAGTATGGAGAACACCCAATATTTATTCATATATTCACTAGGTATAATGGAGCGACAGGAGAGATAAGGAAAGAAAAAAGGCAAACCAAAACTTATGTAGGGCACATGGTTTCCATTTTTGTTTAAACAAAAGGTTCCCCGTGTTTTCATTTTTCCTCTCATGTAAATAAAGGATTAATCGTCACCTAATAACTCTAATTGTGACTGGCAATTTTACAGTATTGTTAAGTGAAATGTCATGTGACTGCTCCACTTAGTTCTTGCACTCCCAATTGCTTTCGTGGGGGAAATCCCACATGATGGTTGGGTGAATCCAGAGGTGGGTTCCTACCAGTTCGCACCTATTCGCTAGAACCGGTTCGTCAAATCTACCGAACTGGTAAGAAGAGGTTCCACCAGTGGACCCGGAAAGCAGGCCACACCTACAGAAGAGGTTCCAAANTAAATACATACCTATTTCCCTGGCTCAGCTGATAAAGGAGGAGAATATATATTGTCAAAGCTACCTTTAATAACTGCCCCAATCTGATTCATGATCCTTGTGTGGATAGGACCACATGTCCTGTATTTCTCAGTCAACAAAGTCAATAGCCATGCTGTTTTAGGAGAGGCGATCCAACATATCTAGACATTATCAAGTTAGGAAAAGCTATTTCATGGGTATACACACACACACATGCAGAGATGCTGTGTGGGCTCTTCCTATGCCTACATTGTCTAGGTTTCTGTTGTAGCTTTCAGTTCACAGGTGCTCTTACCTATTAGCTGTCCTGCAAAATGCTCATGGGGGCTATACGGACATTTGCCTCTCCCAGATCCCGTGGAGTGGGTCATCAGCTGCATAGCTAATATTCCTGATTCCTGCAATAAGAAAGCACTTCAGTTTGGTTTAAAGAGTAAGAGAAGCATTAAGTAATTGGAGACCCTCAAAAGAAAAGGCTCAGTAGTCCAAAAGGGGCACCTTTAGACTTCCTGAACAGGAGACAGGAAGGTGCTATCCCATAATTGTAACCATCTTTTTCTTTCAGTGAAGTATCCTTGTTCTTTGAACATAGAAAGGATTAAGTTTTAGGAGTTTGAATGATAAATCATCCAGGCCTATAATATGGTATTTTTGACTTACTGATTTTTTTTCATCCTACTCCATTAGTATGTATGTGACAGCTGGCATTTGCTTATTCTTACCTATTCTACCCAGATTTGTGTGTGGTTTTTTTTAAAAAAATTAGGATTTAATTATGCTCTATCATGTTACAAAGCAGATTAGGGAATATGAGCATTAAGAAATATATGCTATCCATTATTTTTACTTTCCTTTTATTTATTTATTTGTTAAATTTATTTGCCACCCATCCACTATGGGCTCCCTCTAGGTGACTTACAACAATAAAAAAGAAATACATTTTTATTTTAAAAACTTTTATAACACTAATGCTAAAGGTGACCCTTAAAATAGGATGGGGTCGGATGGACATCTATGGAGCATATCCAGGCAAGAAGATTTATTTCTTTACTTTATTCAGTGAGGGAAGAGGAGAGAGGGCAGAATCAATGCCAAGGAGATTGATTACCAAGAAAGACTGGTTTTGTCTGTAAATGTTAGAATTTCTTCACTGGTCTGAAAAGGGAGCATGGACAGATGCTCAGGTCATTCTCTGAGCCAAGATTGACAAGTAGGTAGTAAGGCAGAGGTGGGTTCCTACCAGTTCGCACCTATTTGGTAGAACCGGTTCATCAAATCTACTGAACCGGTTAGAAGAGGTTCTACCAGTGGACCCGGAAAGCAGGCCACACTTACAGAAGAGGTTCCAAAAATTTTTGAAACCCACCACTGGTCCTTNCCCCCCCCCCTCAGCTAGGATCACAGACTCTATTCTAGAAAGGGCAGCTCTCAATATGCAAGTAACCTTACCCAGCTGATCAAAATGTGTTTCGGTGCCCTGGGGACCTGGGATAGAGCAGATCAGCCGTGCTTTAAGAAAAGTGGTCCAGCGATTGATAAGGCTATGCTTCCCACCAATATCGTTCTGCCAAACAGAAGCAGGGATAGGTCAAGCATAATTTTCAAGTCCATCCACAACTGCTCTCCAGTACTCTTAAGTGATTGCTTTGAATGCATCCATTGCATCACGTTTACAGTCCCACGTGGGCTTTCTTTAAAACCCAAGGTGATGAACGCTGTCCAACCATTAATAGAGAGGCAGATACTTAGAGCTACTGTACTTTTCCTGTTTTTCCTAGAGAAATGGTGCTGAGTTAAATTAAAGGAATTTGAACATCTTTCCAGTGCATGTTTTATCCAGGGATGTTCTTAAATGTGCACCATTCACCTCTGCCTCTCTATTAATGGTTGGACAGCATTCACCTTCTTATGTTTTAAGAAAGTCTGCCTGGGTCTGTAAACATTCACCCTGAGTCATGTGGATATGATCCAGTGGTGAAATTCAAATTTTTTAACTACTGGATCTGTGGGCGTGGCTTGGTGGGCGTGGCAGGGGAAAGATATTGCAAAATCTCCATTCCCACCCCACTCTGGGCCCAGCCAGAGGTGGCATTGGCCGGTTCTCCAAATTACTCAAAATTTCCACAACCGGTTCTCCAGAACCTGTCAGAACCCGCTGGATTTCACCTCTGATATGATCCATCCTCTGCTGACGTCCCTTATATTATGTAAGCTTTTGGCAGATACTTGTACGTTGAACACAGATATTTGCAAGAAGGAAGCCACAAGACTCAGCAGCTTGCTCATGTAAGCATTTGACTTACAGGGAAACCAACAGAAATGCAAGTGTATGCAAAAAAAAGCTTTTTCCTGACTGATAGTCGCACTCAACTGCCCTCTAAAGGCAGTCATCATTTGAGTGATGTCATGACTTATGCACTCTAGATTTCAGAATGCCTGAACAATCTCAGACACCCTGTCAACATGTAGCTATTTTGAATTAGACTACTATTTCTGCATTATGAAAGACCCCTGCTCTGGCAAAATTCCCAGCTGTGTTTCAAAATTGTTTCAAGCTGGAGCAAAATTCAGACTGGATGCCTCCAATGCAGGAAATAATCATATTTTAGCCCTGTTCTAACATTGACTGCTGGTGGCTGACATCCATCTTCCAGAAGCAGTACTGTGTACCATAGTATCTACAGAGATGCTTAATTTATCTATAGTGCTAAATACCTTTTGCTAGGGGATAAAATGCCATTGTTCAGAGCTTGCTTCCCAGGAAATATTCCGATAGCACATCAGTTAAATAGCTACACAAGAAGCACTCACTGCTTACCTTGCAGACGCGGGCCACACGAGCATGGATACGCCTTTTTTCCCATTGTCCAGCTTCCACTGCAGTTTCCCGGAAAAAGATGTAGACTTTATCATCCTCATGGCTGTAAGTATCAGGAATGGCATGGGCCTCAATAAACACCGGCTCTGGAGCGTGGTTGGAAATGACAGGAGTGGAGTGTTGAAAGGAGAGATTAACGAACTGGAACTCTATCTCAAACTTCAAAACATGGAAGAAGGAAAGGGAGAAAATCTGGCAGAAACAATGAGATAAATTCTGGCAGAAGCATCGGTGATAACTAAAGGCAAGGTGATGGAAGGAACAATTGGAGGGTTTCGCATCTTTACAAGATATGCAATGAACAACAAGGTGCCAAGAGAAGTCCAAATAAGTTTTATCAAGAAAACAATTAGAATACAAATACTACAAATGGCAAGAGATATAGGATTGCACTGCTACTGGAAGGACACAGGATGATGAAATGCAATGTTATAATAAAAATTAAGTTAAACTTAGTTAAATTTAGAGTATTATGTATTTAAAAAGGTAATAATAGTTATAGTCAAATAAATGATTAATAATGATAATAATGTATATATATATATAAATATAAAGATTTCTTTTACAACCCCCAGTATGCCCAAATATGGGAGGAAGGTCACACTTCCACTCTCTGTCCTTCGGCTTGTCACAAGAGACCATCCA